AACCTTCGTCCCGTTCTTGATAGCATGAAACGTATGTGGCACACTTATTTTAGTGATCGGATTTCCAATCATTTATGAAATTGCTACTTGATCTCGGTGTCAAAGCTGAAGGTTTGAAAAATCTTTTAGAATTTTAATTATAATTGTTAAGTATCGATTTTGATGTTAGTGAATATATTAGTTAACGCAAACATGTTTTGGGAGACCATTATACAATTATTTATAGTTCTAATTAGCTACAACATCTAGCAGTTCGAATTCTAGATTTGATGCTCTTCTTGACAAAGTTATGAAAAAAAAAAAAAATACAAAGCATCTACATCATTCTCATCATCATCATCATCTTCACTAGTTGCTATTAATGATTATTTGTCATACCAACATTATCTTCACTAGTTGCTATTAATGATTATTTGTCATACCAACATGCATGAGACCAACAAAAGCTTTCAAATTATATGATTATTTTCCATTTTCCTTGATTCCACTCTTCCTCCAATTCTCTCACACCTTTTTTCCCATCAACCAGACAACTGCCCACTTATTATGACCTATGAGAGGATTGCATAGTTATGTGGCATAACTGTTGTATGAAAAATCTTCCGAATGAAAGTGGTAGCTACCAAAATAATACAAAGTAATAATATTACTACCATTGGATCTACTTTGGTCCAACAATTTATAATAATAATTTAATCAACATTGATAAGAAAATCGACACTCCATGTCTCCTTATCGCTGCCTCACTTTTACAACTTGCTTGATGATGAGTAAAGTTATTGGTACAAAATAATTGATCTCAACTACACTAGTACACAACATCATGCAATGGTTCTACTAACAAATTATATGACTTTTCACTTTAAAAATAGAGCTAGTAGTTAGTTCCATGTGTAAAAGCACAACTTATAACTCATTATTAAAGATCAACCTAAATCATCTTCTATTTATACTCTTGGGGTTACATGCATATGATCACAACCAACATTGGCAAAGTCGCATAAGAAAAAAATATGGCATCATATCTTCCAAAAACTAACACTTTCTTGCTCTTAGTCTTATTTTATTTCACCAAATTTACTAATGGGCAAATTTTCTCGGATCAACACCCAATATCCATATCCCAAACCCGAGCCGAAAAAATGACTCACCTACATTTCTTTTTTCAACATTGAAAGTGGCAAACGCCCAACCGCGGTCCAAATAGCTAGCCCAAACCGCCGTTATGGTTCAAGTTTCGGGAATATGTTCATGGCAGATGATCCATTAACGGTTAGGGCGGATCATAGGGCGAGCCCAAGGAGTGTATGGGTTTGCATCTCAAGAAAATGTTGCATTGTTAATGGCTATAAATTATGTGTTTACCAAGGGAAAATACAATGGGAGCAGTATAACTATAATTGGAAGAAATCCTCCAATGCAAAAAGTTAGGGACATGCCTATTGTTGGGGGAACTGGCCTTTTTCGGTTTGCTCGAGGATATGCTTTGGCCCATACTGTTTGGTACAACTCACAAGGCGATGCTATTGTGGAGTATCATGTTTATGTGTACCACTATTAGATACCTCGTACTTGTATTTAGATAATAATCCTCTAGAATTTTTATTAAAAAAAAAATAAATAAAAAAAAAATCCTCTAGATTTTACTACCATAACATTTGATAATTTATAAAATGATGGTTAACAATGTAATTTCTTTATTTTTTGGTTTTTTTTTTGTAAGAAAAAAACATAAAACTCTCCTCACAAGGAGAATTCGTCCTAATGCGTCGGAAGAAAGGATGGAATTTTTCTTATGATTTATTTCCTGTTATTTACGCATGATTAATATTACTCGTATAGTTTGTTTGATTTTAGCTTGCGTTGTTTTAATATTTATTACCCATTTTTGAATATATAATTGTTCTCATCACTTACTTACGTATGTATGTTAGGTTATTATTATCCCCGTTTCAAAATAAATGATACTTTCACACTATTCACTTTAACCTCCGTTATTTCTGTATCCGTAAGATTAAATATAGTAATGTTGGTGTTTGATACCTAGAATCGTCTCAATGCATGGTTCCTAAATTTTAACTTTTTATTAATTATACATAATTTTAATTAAAGATATAATTCAGTAAAGTTTCACATGAATTGGCAAATATATCGATCAAAGTGTGACATTTATTCTGAATGAGAGGGATAAGAGTATGTAAAATACGAGTGACTATAATTAAGAAAAAGTAAAACAAAGTGCCCGTCAAAAAAAAAAAACAAAGTGTATAAGTGTGGGTGAGTGTAACCATGTAAGGTTGCATAAGAGGGAGTAACTGCTAGAAGATCGTTAAGTGTAAAGGAAAGATGAATAAAATATACTTTTTATTTTCTTTTTTACTTGACCTGTTTTTTTTATCTCGCTTGTCAATGCAAAACTTTAACGATCAATAGCTTTAATTCTCCATAAATAAAAATTATAAAATTCCTATATTATGATATATAGTATTTATTGAGACGAATTCAAAAAGATCCCACATGAATTTGTTTGTCCTTATATATTATTCACAATAGACAGTCAAAAAAAAAGGTGGTGAATAGTGTAAAAGTCAAAGTGGGTCAAGTAAAAAAGAACGGAGGAAGTATTTCGTAAAATAGTGTTTAGAAAAAGGCCATGTCGAGTTTGAGTAAGATTGTTTGTAAAGGGAGTTTAAAATAAAGTGATTAGAAAAAAGAAATTTTGTCAACAACTACCAATTAAAACACGTGTTTTGAAAACAACTACCTATTAATTTCGGCTAGAATCTCCGGCATTTGACTCTCACATTTTACCACTTTTTACCTTTATGAAGGGTAATTTAGTCAATTTAGATGGTGATTATATGAGGTAAAGGTAAAAATTAGAACCTACATGCCGAATATTCTAACTGGAATTGTTAGAGTGGTAGTTTTTTTTAAAAAAAAAATTTAAATAGGTAATTGTTTAATTTCCAAAACACGTGCTTTAATTGATAATTCGTGACAAAATTTCCTAAAAACAAAAAATTAATTGATATATAATTACTCTCATTGACATCATTTGCCCTAAATTTGTGAATTTCTCTACAACAAAAAACGATATTTATCATTTTCATATTGGTCACACACTTACTCGCTTGACCCAATAAGGACTTCCAAGTTCCACCATATGGTGATCAACAAGCCTCAAGTAGGGACGATCACAATTTTGTTATTTATACCTCTATCTTACGTTTTTTCAAATTATTTGGTCTTCCTTATATTAGTTGGGTGCTAATAATAAGTCAGAATCCTAAGCTATGCTCTGATATCATGAATTCATGATAAATCTAAATTAGAACATACACAAGTCCATGCTATGCACACAAATTTTAACCATAAGCAAAGCTTACACACTTGAGTACTTAGTGCTCTCAATTTTGTTTCGTTCTTTTTGACAGAATGTATAATGTACTCCATATTGATGCCTTCACTTATAATGCACACAATACGTACTGGGTCACAAATCTACAACTATTATTACGGTGATGCTTTTCAAACATGTCAATTGGTAGTGGGTGATGAAGTGTATTATTTGATTTATATTGCTCTTTGAGTCTTTGATGATTTATCCACTATAGTTGTTTAGCTAATAGAGTGGAATCAACTCATTTTAGCAAAAAGTCTATATAAATAGTCTAATCCCTTTAATTATTTTTTCTTAAAAATATGTTATTTTGATTTGACTAGAGGAAAATTCCAAGCAAATGGAAACCTAATACTCCCTCCGCCTCATATTAGAAGCAGACCTTCTAGTGGAGTCTATCAAGGTGCAACATCAATTAATTGTTATTATTTAAGGTTTTTTTTTAAAAAAAAATTAATTAGCTAGTTACCAAATTTATATAACTCTATTTTACTTGTAAATTATTGTGGCGTATTGGTTAAGTTTAAGAGAGGTTAAAACTAGGTATAAATCATATGCCTATCCAATTCATTACTTTAGGTGAAGATCCTCAACTAAATTACATAAAGTAATACAAAGAAGTAATAAAGAACTCAAAGATTAGCTTAAAATTAAAGATTTAATTTATTAAGAGGACCCTCTAGTCTTATTGATAAGAAATTATACATTTTGACATAATGTCAAATGTTCAAACGTTTAATTCTCCCTAAGGTCATTTTTGAGGTGTGCGTGGATTCGACTTGGTAATTTTAATCCAGATCCGATGATCCGACTCGAATGTCCCGAGTCATAACCCGAAATCATCGACTCAAAATTGACCCAAAACCCGAAATTGACCCGATTCGAAATGGAGTTGACCCGATCTTGACTCGACACCCAAATTGACCCGAACCGAATGTACCTGACTCGAAGTTGACCCAATAACCGAAATGAGCCAGAACAGACCCAACATAACACCCGAAACATCCCGACCTAAAATTACCTTATAATTGAACTAAAAATGTCTGATGCCAAAAATGACTCAATTTGTTCATCTCTAAGGCTCTAACTGTACTCAAGTTCATAAACTGAATTGATAGTTCTTATTATAACAATAACAAAATATAAAATTATTGATTTGAGCTTGATCCACAAATGGATCACCACGAACATGACTTGACCCAATTTTGACCCGACCCGAACATACTCGACCCGAAATAGTTTGACCCGAATATACCCAACCCGAAATTGACCCGACCCGAGCTCAACCCGAGTCAGACCCGAAACCCGAAATGACCCGACCCGACCCATACACGACCCAAATGTTAGCTAACCCAAAATGATCCGACCCGAAATTAACCCGACCCAAACCCGATCCGAATGACCCATTTGCCAAGTCTAGCGTGGATTCATTATTTTCCTTATTTTCAAAGGGTCTAACCCCATCACTACCTTGAACCAGATTGAAAACAGAAACTCCAATTTTATTATTATGGTGTTCTATGAAAGTAGGTAGAGTAACTGAATTAAGATTTATAATATAATCATCCTCCCTCGAATTCTTTTACGTGGGACAATATTCCCAATTCATGCGTGGTCGAGTGGGTTAGTATAAAATGACTTTTCAACCACCAATAAAAGCATCCAATAAACAACACTAGCAAAAAGAGCAAGAAAAGAGAGCAACACATCAATACAATTTGAACTCATAAAAATTAGTTATCTAGCTAATTGTACAAAAAGATTTCAACTTTATGGCTTGTAAATTCTCCACACTTATAATTTTCTCCCTTACATTCTTCACTATTACACAAGCTCATTTATCTGAAAAATCCTTTAACATTAACTTAGCCAAAAATACACAAAAATTAACCAAACTTCGCTTTTACTTCCATGACATACCAAATGGAAATAACCCTACAGCAGTTATAATTGCAAGACCAGCAAACCAAACAACTATTGGTTTCGGCACCCTTGTCATGATCGATGATCCTTTAACCGAAGGCCCCGAGCTAAGCTCGAAACTCGTTGGTAGAGCTCAAGGATTGTATGGTGAGTCCTCTCAGGGTAAGTCAGGCTCGTTGTTGATGACCATAACTTTGTCTTTCACTCAAGGGAAGTATAATGGGAGTAGCATTAGTATCTTGGGCCGGTACCGTGTGGCTGAACCCGTAAGAGAAATGCCTATTGTTGGAGGCACCGGTGTTTTTCGGCTTGCTCGAGGTTATGCTTTGGCAAAGACATACCGGTATGATGTTAAGACCGGAGCTGCTATATCTGAGTACAATTTGTTAGTGTTACATTATGATATTCCCTTAGTTGAATAAGCTTATTTGATTTGTTCCATTTACAATGTTTGTTGACTTACAAATTTTGAACATGGAAAGCTTTAAGCTTTATGAAGAATCTATGTGTGTTATGTACTTGGAACTTTAAAAGCAATTTCATTACAACTTTTTTCTAATACATTTATTTTTTGAAAATTTTATGGAAAACTACCCCAAAGATGGCCTGTTTTGTGTACTCGTTATTTTTATTTTTATTTTTTTATTTTATTTTTTTTTTGTTTAAAACTACCCATAAGATGACAAACGTTTGTCTAGCACTACCCATAAATGGTTTTTGTCCAATTAAGCCGCTTGTGGGGCTCATTCTTACGGTTTTCCATCCAATTAAATCCCCTCTTCAACCACCTCTCTCTTCCTTCATTTACTATTCCTTCATTTTCACTCCTCTTCTTTGACCTCCACCTTTCACCATCTTAATTTGACCTAAGAAAATCTCTAAATTCATCAATTTTTTAGAAAATTATGTAATTTAATTTGTGGCCTTTAAATTATAAATCGTTGAACATAATAAAGTAAATGAAGGAGAGAAATGAGTGAAAAACCACAGGAGTGGGCCCCACAAATGGCTCAATTGGACGAAAACGGTCTATGAGTAGTGCTAGACAAACTTTTGTCGTCTTATGGGTAGTTCTAAACAAATTTTTAAATAAAACGGGTAATTATTCACAAAACAACCTATTATCTTTAGGTTAGTTCTACACGAAATTTCCATTTCTTTACATAGGTATAGGTATATATATATATATATATATATAATCTTAAGGAAAATGTATGTTAAATGTACCTCTAGTAGCGATACGTGCAACATGGCTCACCAATTTACACGAACGTCACAAGCCATTTTTAAAACCACAAACATATTTTTTTTAACTAGGTTAGATCCTGTGACATGTACGGTGATCTATAGTTATACTACCTCATTTTCATATTATTTGCGCAATATAAACTTTATACATGTTCATATTATTTTAATTAACATGTCTAACGATTAAAAAATTGTTGTAAGATAAACAACCCTTTCTATTTATTATTATTACATTATACTTTTAGACGAACCATTAACGAAGAGAATCACCTCCATCTAAAATTGACTTAAGATAATCCAAAGTCCCTATGTGGCCAAAGTTACAATTATGTGGTCAAACACTTCCTTGAACTTTGAAATGTCTCTAATTAAGTATTGAGGTCGGGTAAGTAAACTTAGTTTTTGAACAAGGCCTAATTACGTAATTAGTGCCTTGATTTTTGCTAAACGGTTTTGACTGAGTTAATACCGTTTTTAATTGATCGTTTTAACGTTAATCAATTTTGAACGGTTATTGAAATTGATTTATAGGCCGTTTTCTTCTTCACCGTTTTTGCTGATTTTTAGGCATGATTACCTCTTAATCCGCCGTTATGATGTTACTTGGTTTTCAAATAAACGGCTCGCAGTTCCGTTTACAACAATTTTAGAACAATCTTTTCTGCCTTCCGTAATTATAATGTCCACCGAAGATATGACTATGTCCAATGACCTTAACAAGCCCTTCCGTTTTGAAGGCGCTCACTTTAAAAGGTGGAAAAAGAAAATGCAGTTCTTCTTGACTGTTAAAAAAGTGCACTCTGTATTGACTGTCCCTAGGCCTGTTATTCCTGATAATGCTGAACAAGATGACCTAGTGTATTGGAATAGTGAAATCGAAACTTGGAATGAAACTGATTTCATGTGCGAGAATTATATTCTTAATGGTCTGTCTGATAACCTGTATGACTATTATAATTTGGAAAACACTGCTAAGGATTTGTGGGATGCCCTACAAAAGAAATACGACACTGAAGAAGCCGGTGCCAAAAAGTATGCTGTCAGCAGGTACCTGAAATTTCAGATGACTGATGACAAGTCCGTGGAAGTGCAATCCCACGAGCTTCAGAAAATTGCCCATGAGATAATCTCCGAAGGTATGGCCCTTGATGAACAATTTCAAATTGTTGTTATTATTGACTAGTTGCTTCCTTCTTGGAAAGATTTCAAAAATAATCTCAGGCATAAGGCTAAGGAATTCTCCTTAGAGAGTTTGATCACTCGGCTCCATATAGAAGAAGAATCCAGAAAACAGGACCAGAAGGAAGAAGTCTTATAGGTCACTACTCCTAAGCGGTCTACTGCAGTTCTCAAGCCTGCTGGTAAGAATTTCAAACCTCAGAACCGGAATAATAACTTCAACAAAAGTAAACAGAATGTTCAAAAGAACAATGGAAAGCAACAGTCTCAACCCCCTAAGAATGGTACTGGTCAATTTCTATGCTATAGGTGTGGAAAACCAGGCCATATGGCACGAAAGTGCAGGAACATGCCTAATCCTGCAACTGCGCAGGCAAGCATGATTGAAGAGCCTCTTGTGGCTATGATTACTGAGATCAAGCTTACAGGTGGATCAGATGGGTGGTGGGTAGACACTGGTGCTATGCGCCATGTCTGCTATGATCGTCGGATATTTAAAACATATTTTGAAAAGACCGATGATAAGAAAGTGTTGTTGGGTGATTCCCATTCCACTAATGTTGCTGGTATTGGTAATGTTGAGTTGAAGTTTACTTCTGGCAGGACTCTTATTCTGAAGGATGTACTGCACACTCCGGAAATGAGAAAGAATTTAGTTTCTGGTTTTCTCCTTAATAAGGTTGGTTTTACACAAACCATAGGTTCAAATTTATTTACTTTAACTAAGAATGACATGTTTGTAGGAAAAGGATATGCTACTGATGGCATGTTTAAACTGAATGTTGAGATTAATAAAATTTCTGATTATGCTTATATGTTGTGTTCTACTGTTAATATTTGGCATGCTAGACTTTGTCATGTGAACAAAAGACTCATAAAAAAATATGAGCAATTTAGGCCTTATTCCTAGTATCTCTCTCAATGACTTTAATAAATGTGATTTTTTTAGTCAGTCTAAGATTACAAAAACACCTCATCAGTCTGTTATTAGAAACTCAGAACCGTTAGATTTAATTCATTCGGATATTTGTGAATTTAATGGAACGTTGACTAGAAATGGACAACGATATTTTATCACGTTTATTGATTATTGTTCTGATTATACTCGTGTTTATCTGATGAAAAATAAAAGTGATGCTTTTGAAATGTTTAAGTTGTTTGTGACAGAGTTTGAGAATCAGTTCAACAAGAAAATAAAAAGGTTACAAAGTGATCGTGGAACTGAGTATGATACTGATGTTTTTGTAGAGTTTTATAATTCACACGGTATTATACATGAAAGGTCAGCTCCTTATTCTCTAGAAATGAATGGTAAGGCTGAAAGGAAAAATAGAACCTTTACTGAGTTAGTAGTTGCTATTTCCTTAAATTCTGGTGCTGCTGATCATTGGTGGGGAGAAATTCTTCTCACTGTTTGTTATGTCTTGAACCGTATTCCAAAGACTAAGAGTAAGGTTTCTCCTTATGAATTACTTCGTAATAAACAGCCTAATATTTCTTATTTCAGAACATGGGGTTGTCTAGCATATGTTAGGATTCCTGATCCTAAAAGAGTTAAGTTAGCTAGTAGAGCTTATGAATGTGTATTCATTGGTTATGCTATTAATAGTAAAGCATATAGATTCTTTGATTTAAATGCACGTGTAATTATTGAATCTAACGATGCTGATTTTTATGAGGACAAGTTCCCTTTTAAATCTAGAAATAGTGGGGGTTCTTCCTCATCTATTATTCCTGCAGTCAGGTCTAACTCACAAAACTTGGATGCTGAACCCGAACTAAGAAGGAGCAAACGGGCTAGAGTAGCAAAAGATTTTGGCCCTGACTTTGAAGTTCTCAATGTAGAGGAGGATCCTTCTACCCTCCAAGAAGCCTTAGCCTCAGTTGATGCAGATTTATGGCAAGAAGCCGTAAATGATGAAATGGACTCACTTGAGTCTAATCGAACTTGGCACCTAACTGAGTTGCCACCAGGTTGCAAGACAATTGGCTGCAAATGGGTCCTAAAAAGAAAACTGAAAGTTGATGGCACTGTTGATAATTATAAAGCTCGTTTGGTAGCTAAAGGCTGTAGACAAAGGGAGAATGTTGATTTCTTTGATACTTATTCACCTGTAACTAGAATAACTTCTATTAGAGTACTAATTTCTCTTGCTTCTGCTTTTAATCTTGTAGTACATCGGATGGATGTAAAGACTGCATTCTTGAATGGTGAATTGGAAGAAGAAATCTACATGGACCAACCAGAGGGCTTTGTCATCCCAGGAAAAGAGCATCTGGTATGTAAATTAGATAAGTCTCTTTATGGTCTCAAACAAGCACCTAAACAATGGCATGAAAAATTTGATAACTTAGTCATTTCACATGGTTTTAAGATAAATGGTAGTGACAAATGCATATATGTAAAATTTGAGAATGACATTTGCACTATAATTTGTCTGTATGTGGATGACTTGTTAATTTTTGGTTCGAATATTCACGTTGTGAATAATGTAAAGCTATTGTTGAATGCTGAGTTTGATATGAAAGATCTAGGAGAGGCTAATGTAATCCTTGGGATTAAAATTACTAGAAGTGAAAATGGAGTTTCTTTGGATCAGTCTCATTACATTGAGAAAATCCTAAAGAAATATGGTTACTTTGACTGTAAACCTGCCAGTACACCTTATGATCCCAGTGTAAAATTATTTAAGAACACTGGTGAAGCCGTTAGGCAATCTGATTATGCGAGCATCATTGGCAGCGTTCGATATGCCACCGATTGTACTAGACCCGACATTGCATATGTCGTGGGATTATTAAGCAGGTTTACTAGTTGTCCTAGTAATGAGCATTGGCATGCTATTGAAAGGGTCATGAGATACCTTAAGAGAACCATGAACCTAGGATTACATTATGAAAGGTTTCCAGCTGTACTAGAAGGCTATAATGATGCTGACTGGAACACCTTATCAGATGACTATAAGGCTACTAGTGGATATATTTTCTCTATAGCCGGTGGAGCTGTATCTTGGAAGTCTAAGAAACAGACTATTTTGGCTCAGTCCACCATGGAGTCAGAGATGATAGCACTAACTACAGCTAGTGAAGAATCAGGTTGGTTAAGAGACCTGCTAGGTGAGATTCCCTTGTGGGAAAAACCATTACCGGCTGTCTTGATCCATTGCGATAGTACCGCGGCTATTGCAAAAGTTCAAAACCGTTATTACAACGGTAAGAGACGACAAATACGTCGTAAGCACAGCACTGTAGGAGAATATCTCTCTATTGGAGCTGTTAAAGTGGATCATGTATGCACTGTAAATAATTTGGCTGATCCTTTGACGAAAGGATTAGCTAGAGAGAAAGTCCATAATTTTTCTAAGAAAATGGGACTATTGCCATTAAAATGAGTCACACATAATGGTAACCCAACCTATGGACTGGAGATCCCAAGAAATAGGTTCAATGGGTAATAACAAGTTATGGAGTGATATGAGTTGATTATGTTCAAAAGACATAAATTCCTGAAGCGATCAAGGATGAGTTAATAGGAACTCTTAATGAAGTCTATACTCCATTTGGAGTGGAGTACCTAGCTACAGGAGTACTCTTGATAGATTCACCTATGTGAATGTGGAAGTGAGGCCGCTTCCTATGAAGTGTGTGGCAACATTTCTAGAGCGTTCACTATATTGGGATAGACATGCATGGCCGTAATAACA